GTCTCTGCCCGATTCAAAACAGTATTATGGTCACACAGTTAACCCTTGAATGCTTTGAAACTTACAGAGACATTGGAACGTTCCCCGAAATGAGAGACAAAATCCTCATATTAATTATATTTACTTTGCCATTACAAGCAAATTAATTTTTCCTTTTTTTTTTTCTTTACATTTCACTTCATTCTATATTAGATGGTCCAAAATCAATGCCTAAGAGAGGGGAAAAAAATCATGTATAGCATGCATCATGCTCTATTACCTTACTTCAGGAAGAAATTCAGGCACATGTTGAAGAAAGGTCCTAGACAGAGCAGCAGTTAAACAGGTGCTTTACTTGCACTTACTTCAAGATATAAATATGTTTAAAATTACATGCATGTGCAAGTAAGAGAAGTATGTGCAGGTCTCAAGGAATAATAGCCAACCTGAATGATTCTTAACTGGTTAATAATACTTCTTTTAGAGTTCTTCTGAAGTTACCAGAATAAAAACTTTGTAATGTGGTGTGTTTTTCAAGGGAATGATTGTCAGATCTCTTATGATTGTTCTGGAGATTACCACTTCAAGAAAACTAACAATATGGTTATTGGATTTAAAAGGTATTCTCTGTAAGTAAATGTCACTTTTAAATACTTCAGCTATTATGTTTGTGTTTGCATTACTGCAGGGATTTAAATGGTACCATTTGCATATTTTTTCCAATTCTCTAATGTTCAGTTAGTGAGTTAAAATTAAGATAAGTTGTGTAAATGAAACAGCTTGCTGGCTGTGGATGAGGTCATTTAAGCTGCTGTACCTGGACTGAAAGTAATGCAGTTAGGGGAAGACACATACAAAGTAAGCTTTGTTTGTGAAAGTAGCATGTTTTTATCACATGGAAGTTTTAGTTTGAAATCAAAACAGGAATAGAAAGATAGAAAACACAGAAATATTTTTATGACTGGCATCGTTGCCATGGGAGGGGGAGGCCTGGAATGTATTTTTAGTCATGTCAGGTGTGGGGGTGTGCATGCAAATAATTTTTACTATATAACATTCTCTCAATATTTGTATTTATGTGCTTCTAACACGCCCCAGATGTTTTGAGATTCTAATGACATGGAGTTCTCTTTCCTTTTCTCTCCATGTTACATGCATGACTTTTTCTTCTGACAGCATAAAGTACCTTTACTTATGGTCCTTAAGGGAGGTCAAGCCAACTCCAGCCCAGGAATGGTTGGCAAAACCTGGCCTGTGGTGTTCACATGTTCCTCCCTGATAGTCTGCCTAGAAATCTCTGTTCTTTCACTTTCAGATTTCTTCTTTGAAGCTTTGGCAATGACTGGCTTTTGCCCCCCTAAATTAATGACCCACTAAATTAAGTATTTTATTTTTAAATACTCACCTAGCCTGCATTTTTTAATACTAAGCATTTTCCACAGGTCTAATCTTCTTGTCTGTTATTTTCATGGACCTTAAAGGGGGACCATTGCTGGCCATCCCTCTAACATGACCAATGTTAGAGGGATGAAGAGACATGACCAATTACTACCCTCAAATCTACTTAATTCTACATCCTTTTCTCCTTGCGAAACATTTTACTGCTTTCCTTTAGTAGTCCATCTTTGGCTTATTTACTACCAAGTAACTGCTGAGTTTTCTTTATCTGTATGTTAAGATAAGTTGGTCTATATTGGTGCCACTTTTTTCAGCTTTTCTGACCTCCTTACACATGTAGGATAAATATGTCATCTGTTCAAGAGCTGTTAAGAAATTCTACTACAAAGGTGTTCCTTTGAGTTGAGTTAAGCTGTCATGAGTACCCATGGTTACTTTTATGTGCTAATAGTCTCCAAACCAGGGATTTTGAACTTCTGTGTGGATTTTCTGTGATTAGAAATGGGAATAATCTTAAAAGCTGCATGGAAGCTTAAAATGAGATATTTATGTAATGCTGTTCTACTTATGGTGCAGCAGGTCAGCATGCTCTACAGCAACCTCTCCATTTTTTGTAAACCCTGAGTAAAGCACAGGGTTTACAGTACAAAGGGACTGCAGGGATAGATTGCAGGTTGATGGATGTATTGGTAAGAAGAAGAAAATTAAGGAAGCATGCAGGTATAAAAGACATTTCTAGTAGCCATTACCCCTCAAATTCTTTCCCTGCCTCCTTCCTTCCCTCCTCATAGATTTTTAGCAAAGTTGAGGGCAGTAGAACTTTCTGAATGCACTGGAAGAGGTTCCTTTTCTTCCCCACCCCACAGGGCAGGGTGAACGAGGGACTGTGTGGGGTGTAGCTGCTGGACAAGGTTACACCACAACAAATAGTTACAAAGTGTGTGTTGTAGATGATAATACAGAACTAATATATTTCTTCTATCATCTGGCTTAATAATACTTTTTCCAGGGTTATTCTCCCTCACACTTAAGTGTTTGTGTAGCCTTTTGTCATCAAATGAGTGTTCTTCTGAGTAAACACATAGGGTAAGTATAGAGAAATTAGATTCTAAACCACCAGCTTGCTCTAAAATAAGCAAAATGCATATTTGCAGCAATGGGAGCTCTGATACGGTTGTTTTGTAAGACAGTTTTGGTTATTGAAGTGTTTTGGTAATCAGAGAGCACTAAGTGTCTGGTCTTGAGCCAGGCTCTGCCCCTGGCTGCACACTGAGTTGCCTATTGCTTGTATGTACATATACATCACATGGATATGATGTGCATGGATGATAAGGTAAAAAAAATACTTTTTTTGCCCTGGAGTGTTCTGTCATGTAGTAATGACTTTTGCATGAGATTTTTCTGAATGAAAAATACAGGAACTTACAGAATTGCTCTTCGCTCTGTTGAAGAGAAATGACTCAACATCTATCAATCCTTTATAATCACTGTAAAACTGCCACTGGGAGTGCCCTGGCAGGGGAAGGCAAGGCCACATGATCTGAGAGTGGCTACTGCCCTGGTGACAAGGAATGGCAGCCAGCTGCCTGGCCATTTCCTTACGGCACAGCAGAGAAGCAGAGAGGCTTTGCTTTCTGCTTTCTATTTCTCCTCTGGGGCAGGGAGGCAGACTCTCCACAGTACTGGAGGGGAAGGGCAGAGTGTTAGTAAAGGTTTTGTTACTCCTTTTGGCTTCTGTCCTTCAAACAGGTCTTCATATAGTGGATTTTCAGTTGCACATTTGCTGTCAGCCTCACTGCGAGCTAAAACTTCACTAACCTTTAACATTAATCAGAATTATGAGTTGTCGCTGCTCAATTATCTAGCTGTTGTTGTTAAACACTAAAAATCAGAAAACAGCCTATTTTTCTCTGCACAGTAAGATGAAAGCCCTTCAGGCCAACCTAAACTGAGCTGCAATTGGAAACAAATGTGTTGATGCTGCTGAGCTCTTCCTGGCAATGCCATTGCCAGGGGAGGATGCCTGTGCAGCTCTGCTGTCTTTACCCTCTGTGCCACAGCTCTGCAGGAAATTCAGTGCTTACAGGCTGCTAAGATAAACCTCTCTGCCATTAGATTAATTGAATGCAATTGCAAGTGTCTGTGTAATACCACACTGTTCAAACATAGGAAAGGGAAAGAGAAGAAAGGCACAACATAAGTTGAAACTGTTGATCTTAATTTCTATTTATTTTTCATAAGCTTAGTGAAAAAGCATACCTATACTGAAAAACATGTAATCAGATGTTCCCTGTAGCAGATTGAATTAAAAAGGTGTATTGATATTATGCTAAAAAAGAATTTAGAGCATTTGACACTTGTTTTTTAAATTACTTTTTTGTTTACCCTTTAATTATGTTCATCACTGTATTTTACCCCACTATTTATTTTCTTACTTCCTAAGATTAGGAATAAGCAATGTGTTAATTTCCCTTTTAAATTTTTAAAATAATATTTATCCCTGAATATGAAAACTGATAACTAGAGATAAAAATTTCACTGGAAAATAAAAAAAAATCCCTGAATTATTTTACCAAGTGGGAATAGTCACAAATTTGAGTACAGACTTTCATGCCAAAGGAATGACAGCTGAGGAGAGTTGTCACTGGTGGTTCTCAGATACCACATCTCCTTGCTGGTACCCATGAGCTGGGTGGTGACTCCCCTGTCTGATGGGCTTCTTCAAAGTGTTGACAGAAATATGCAACTCTTTCAGACAATGTCATTCCAGTGGTCATGCCTTAAGTAGAAAATGATGGGAGTGGATGTAGCTCTTCAGGCTGGAAGTGAAATGACCCACAAAATGGTGTCAGCTTTCAGAATCCCATTGCTTCTGGTATTTTTTTCTGAAGGAGTACTGCTTTCTGGACACTTATAAGCATCAATTAATGACTAAGGTTATGACTCCTGGGTTCAGTTTAAATGCAGAATATAATTGCATGGAGAGTGCTTCATATGGGTTTCCAGACTTTTTTTGGTATGAGTCCTTCAAAGGTCATCAGACTGACATGATCCTGAGAGTATAATAGAAGAACCAGATAGGAAGTATTTACAGATCACGTAATTTTTAAGGAAATACTTTAAAGGAAAGAAATTACAACCTTTTAGTAATAAAGTATGTTTGCATTCATCTACATTTCTGACATATGGGAAAGAGCCTATGAGTTGTGACTGTGTGTGACTTTATATAATGTTGTAAATTTTTTTGTTAACTATCTTATAATTTAAATTTGCATAAAGATTACAGGTGATTTCTGTAGCTGACTTAGAACTATTCCAGTAATAAAATTTTGAATATTTACTATTTTCAATTTTGAGAATATAGTTTGTGCTATATATTTGCCTAATGCCGAGTTCCCAGGACCACAAAATTGTCCTTTTGCCAAATGGTACATGCACATATTTCATGAAGTGATCTACAGCTTTGCAGAAAATAGGGCAAGCTCTGTAAATAGAGCACGTCAGGTAGTTTTTTCACATTCTTTTTTATGCTACAAATTGACACATTTCTTCTGTGGTGGATGTTTTTCTGAGATTTCTGTGAAATCTCTGACAGCACTGCTTAATTGTCTTTTCACCTACAGGTACATTTATGTTCCAATGGGAGGATCTCAGTCCAGTTTGCTTGGAACACTATTATCTACAGCCCTCACTTTTGCCTTCGTAAGCTACTGGCATGGAGGACAGAGCTATTTGTGGTACTGGGGTGCACTTAATTGGCTTGGAGTAATTGTGGAAAATGGTGCCAAGAGGATACTTTCAATTTCACTTATTCAAGATTTAATTGTAAGTTGAATCTCCCTCCATTTTGTATTCTTGCTTCCTAGCTCCGCGTTCATCTGAAGTTGCTGATTACTAGTTGGGTTTAACCAAGATGAAAAGTCATGGCTAACAGATAGTTAGGATTCCCTTGCCCACCCTCCAGTCTCTGAGGTAATAACTAGTTTGTATCACTAGAATTTTGAAAAGTAGCAGCAAAGCAGATGGTGAAATATGCATGGTCTTAAAAGCTTCCTCTGCAGTCCTAGAGTAAGCAAATGCTTGTCACGTTGTACAGGGATGAACAGAAGCCAGTTTTAACATTTGTATTCTGATTTCACTCAGGATGGCCTCAAAATATTCATCTTCACTAAAATTAGGAGTGTATGTTTCTAACCATGTGTTTCCTGGAAAAATGTGTGTGTAGCAGCTGCTTGCATCTGGGAACAAGCTTACACTGTGAAATCTTATACTACTGAAGAGCTAAGTAAAGAAAACATTATTTTGCCTTGAAATCCTCTGATATTTTCATTTTACTTATACTTTTGACCTTCATGCTGTAATTTCCAAAGGACAAAATTGACTTTGATGTGCAATTAGACTATTTCAATTTTATTTTACCACTATTTTAATTTTGATGGCCATTTTAATCTGCTGGTTTACTCACTACTAAAGCCCAAATCCTATAATAACTGTTTGTAACACTAAATAATTTGTGTATCTTGCTTCCTTACTAGTTAGAATTGCACAGAATTCATACTCCTGTATATTGTTGTTTTGGTGGAGACTCACTCTGCAGCCTGATGAAGTCGTGATGCTCAAGGAATGATGTTTGTTGTTCATCCTACCCATTTCACTTTTCACTGCTGTGGCATCCTATGTATGGCAGCTGATACAGCTCAGTAATTTAGTAGCCAGTGCTGCCTTGGACAGTTGCTACCCAATTGTCCATCACTGAAATTTCAGTGATAGTCTGGAAGCAAATTTTTACCTTCCTAGAGAATGAATTTATCAGATCCATTAATCCTCCCTCAAGGGTGAAAGTGAGCTTCACCATCTGACCAGCTGCATATGTTTGTCTCTGGACTGGAAAGCAACATAATTTTTTAGGCATTCAGCTATAGGAGGGAATAAAATTGTAGGGGCTTGCTTTTTGTATGTGATGTCACTGTATTAGAAATTTTAATAAAATTCATAGGGAATTAAGTTCTTAAATATTGGAAATTATAATGATAATGACATTATAAAGGTGGGGTTATATATGTTGGATTAATTTCTAGCACATAGTTCTAATTATAGTTAACTGATGATCGCAGTAGGGTTATTTTTGTATAAATTAAATCTCTAAGTGCATTTTATCCCTTTCCTCCACCTTGTTTTCATCCCGTGTTTTTAAAGGCCTATCCAGTGTCTTCCATTTCTCCATTGTTTCCCATTTCTATTCAGAAATACGGTTGTAGATCTTCTTTAGAAGAGCCTTTTCTATCTTTTCCTGAAATAATTCTGAAGCCAGAATTTTTAATATGCATAGTTTTGGCATCTACATTAGTACAGATCTCACTGCAGCTATGGCTGAGTTATGATTTGCCTTGTCTTGAAGGTTGCTCTACAAGAACATGAGCTACAAACCACTGGTTGTTGCTCTCTCCTCACTCTTCTAGCTCCCATTTTCTTCTTAGATGCTGATACTGGGGGACAGATGAGTAGTTGGACTTTGCATTTTCCTTATCAAGGGGTGGAGTGGTATGGCATTCTCTGAAATGTACCACCTTTAAAAGAAACTGAAAAATTCCCATTTCTCTGTATAAATTTCCTCTTCCCCCTTTTAATCTGTTTTTTGGAAACATTCCTATAATCCTTTCTTGGTGAGGGGCGTTCTGCAAATCTAATCACTGTGGTGTTGAAGACCCTCTTCTGGGGGATGGGTTTTTCACTTGAATCTCATCTGTTGACAAGCTGAAATCCTTTGCATTCTTGTGCTTCACTCAGTTGCTGTGTTGGCTCTTGAGAGCTATTTTTGAAAAAGAAAGTCTATTTTTGTCTTCAGAATAGCAGATGAATTTTTGAAAAAATACAGAGCACAGGTTTATGCTTTTTTTAACCCATTCTGTTCAGCAAAGCTCCTCATCTATTATTCTCAAAGTTGAGATACATAATTCAATTGAGCAGGAGGTGCTTAGTAAAAAAAATCTAGAGGTATAAGTTTAATTTTACTCTGTTTTTAAGATTGAGTTGATCACTAAGAGTAATAAGAATGGTATCAAAACTGCCTCCTTTTTTTCTCACTCAATATTGTTTCAGTTCTCTTGCAAAGGGAAGATTAAAAATCAAAATAGAGCACGTTCAGCTCTTATTTTTCCCTGAATCCTTGTGCTAACTTAATATATATATATATATATATATATGTATATATGTATATATCACCTATATTTTTGCAGATTTTATGGTAGTTTCAATCCCAATGCTGACAAGTAAAACCAGCATATAAACAACTATATACTGAAAACAGCAAATTTCCCGACCCAAAAGATTGGTTCTGGAATTTTTAATTTGAACTGGTTTAAACCAGTGGCTGGCTTCCTGTGTTCAGCTCTAGAAGAGCTGATGCTCTTTCTTGTATCCTTTTCAGCTTGTACTCTCCTGAATTTTGTGTTTCAGTAAGTTGTGTGAGAAGTTCTCTCCATGTCTTTTTTCCCCCTTATTGATTATTTGTCAATTCTCAGTAAATTAGAGCTGAATTAATTTTGTCTTTTCAGCAAAATGTTATATAGAAAACAATAAATGCTAGGCTTCCTAAGATAGGGCAGATGTGGGAACTTTATATCAAATAGGAGAAGTTTCATTGTATTTTTGTCAGATTTTTTTTTTCTTACTTTTTCAGGTGATACTTAGATCTGTACTGAGCAAGGTAGTGCTTTGCTTCACTGTTTCTATATTAATTTCTTACAGATGAACAGACTTGAGTAGTAACTAATTTGAAATCAATGACAGAATTTGTATTGACTTTTAATAAATAATGTGTCTGATTTATGAAATAAAATGCTAATGGGTAACATTCTCCCAGTGATTTCAAGTTTTTCCTTCTCTTTCCTTAAGGAAAATAATCTATAGAAAAACAGATGTATAAAAAAATAGATCTTGGTATAAAAATAGATTTATAATGAGTTAAACCTTAGAGTATCTGTCAACACCTTTAAGGCAAAGGGTTTTTGAAAAAGAAGTATTTGGAGATCATTCAAAAGGAAGATATACCAAAGAGAGTCAAACTGGCAGATTAATAAAATTAATGTTTTAATCTGAATTGAAATAGCAACATTTATCTTTTTAGTTCTTTAGTTAAGTGAAAACATGTCATTCAGTCTAGTAAGATTTTTTTAAATTGAGACATAAAGATCTCTCTTCTCAAAATCATACCATGATGAATTTCTAGTTTAAGATCTTATTTTTAGATTTATTTGGTAAGAAACTAAATACACCATAAGCAATTCATTTTGGGAAACCAGCTACTTTTACATATGGCATATTTTAAATTTTTACTATCCTTGTAAGTGTTTTTTAAAAGTATAGAATACTTTGATTTCTATATTTTCATTTATGGCTGCAATGAGGTGCACTAATTAAGTCCAGTTCAATATGCTGTCATTTCCTACCCAGCCCCCCTTTGTAAAAGGGGAAGTATTTTATATGATGTCCGTGTTTTGTTAGTGGTTTAGATTAGACTTCATTAGTGTGCTAGATTATTATTTTCCCCAGAAGAATGAACTCCATATATTTGTCTCTGTAGTTAAAAGATCACCATTATTTTGTGCACCAAAGATGGGGTCAGTGACAGCTGGTATCCTCAGCTTTCCAGAGGGCATAATTTTAGATTGTTTTCATTGTTTGGGTTCAGTGAGGGATTTTTTGTCTCTTTTTTTTCCTTTCCTTAATTTTGTTTGCCCTATTTGTTCTGCTAGATGCATTAAATATTTTGCAGTTATTCATAATAAGTTATGCACTGTACAGAGATCCTGCAGACAGCTGGTGAGGAGCATGGAAAGGTTCTGACTGGTTAGCCTGACCTCTGGGCCCTGGTTCCACAGGGGATGAAACTGAACTAAAAGCTCATTGCTGTTGAAGGGGGAAAGGTTTAATTTCTCTTTCCTCCCCTCCTTGCAGTGTCACCACTTCCTCCTCCTCACACCTTCCTGCTGGAATCCTTGCTCAGCTGATCTAGCTCTTTATCCCAGCAGAATGCTCTACTTCCTTAGGTGATTTTATTGCTAGATGCTTTAGCTCATGAAGAGGGATCTGAAAAGCACCCAAAGCTATGGGTGGAAGTGGAAGGAGGAGCAGATTGACTATTGGAACCTCCTGCATGTAAATGTGCATAAACTGTGTGAGGTAGCAGGCTCAGCCTCTGTATTTAGGAGCAGTGAAACAAAGGAGCCAGTTGGGTTCTGCTGCATTAATTACTCAGGCTATGCCAGGGCACACATTCAGCCTGACCAAGATGGCAGTGCCTGTGTATTTCACAACCATATACATATACAATGTATATTCAATGTGTGTGTCCTATATACATTGAAAAATGAGTAATTATTTCCTTTCAATCTTTTTGCAAGTATAACTCACTTTGAACTACCATGAGACAAGTAAAGTTTCCTTCTTCAGTAGAGACAAGATCTGACTAAACATTGCGAAGTTGTTCGAGGGAGGTATGTTTGTTGACCACCTTGGAAGATTAAATCTTTAATAAGATCTCTGCAATAAATAAAGACCCTAGCAGCTGTTCTTCAGCACACACTGGGCTTTGATCTTCCTCTTACTTCATTTGGTGGAAAAAGTATTTATATCTGTTGAGCCAGTCTGGCCTTTTCTTTTTTTCCAATACTTTTGTATCATTCTTACATATTTTTGCTGCAGTATGGTGATTTGGTTAAAAGACACGCATTACCAGTGCTACTTTCTTCATAACATCTTTATGTACTTGCTGTAGAATTGTGTTTGAATTTGTTGCTTTGCTTTCTAAGAATGAACAAACTCAA